AAACTCAGTAGTCAAACCAATCTACAAAAACGGGATAAAAGAAAATGCAAATAACTATCGTCCAATTATTCTTGTACCTGCCCTTTCAAAAGTTCTGGATACAGTAATAGCTAACCAATTAATAGTATTTTTAGAAAAACACAATATACTTAATAAATCTGTTTGGATTTAGGAAAAATAAATCTACTAACGATGCGATTGCCACAATTATTGAAAACACAACAAAAAGTTTGGATGATAAAATAAAATGCAACTGTGTACTATTAGACTTATCAAAAGCCTTTGACTGTATTCAACATAACATTCTCATGGATAAATTATACAAATGTGGAGTCCGTGGTATACCACATACGCTAATCAAATCCTAGACATAATGATGATCTCGGAAACCCACTTCACTAGTAGAAGTTACTTCAAAATACCCAAATATTCAATCTATGACACCAAGCATCCATCTGGAGCTGCTCGCGGGGGAACTGCGATTATCATTAAAAATTCAATAAAACACCACAAAATATGCAAATACACTAAAGAATACTTACAAGCAACTAGTGTAATAGTGGACGAATGGAATGGTCCACTTAGAATCTCAGCAGTATACTTACTGCCCGCCCAGGCAAGTCATTACGAAAGACCAATTTCAACAGTTCTACACCATGCTAGGTAACCGATTTCTCGCAGGTGGAGACTACAATGCAAAAAACACCCACTGGGGCTCCAGACTAACTACGCCAAGGGGAAGAGAGCTAATGAAGGCCATAGGAACTAATAATTTAAATCACCTATCCACAGGTCAGCCCACGTATTGGCCATCAGCTGCAGATAAAACACCAGACTTTATAGACTTCTGTGTGACAAAAAGCATACACCACAACAGCATTCAAGCGGACTCTTGCTTGGACCTATCTTCAGATCATTCTCCTGTAATGATAAAGCTAACCACCAATATAATGGAATGGGCAAAACAGCCCACATTAAGTAATAAATATACCAACTGGGATAAGTTCAAACGTTTAGTCGAGACAAATCTAGACCGAAAAGTACCTCTCAAAAATGGAGAAAACATTGTAGAAGCAGTAGAACACTTCAATCAAGCAATCCAACAAGCAGCCTGGAAGTCATCACCGACAATAAAGCACGACAAAGAAATCGCGCAAGACTATCCTATAATAATAAAGGAAAAAATCGCAGAAAAGAGGAAGATCAGAAGACAATGGCAAAGAAGAACACCAGAAAACAAAAGACTACTTAACAGAGCAATACTACAACTTAAAAGAGTTATTAAATAGTTACAAGAACAAAGAGATACAAGACTATCTCAAAAATTTAACACCAACCGAAGCTACTGAATATTCACTCTGGAAAGCCACAAAAAAGCTAAAACAACCACAAAAACCCAACCCGCCAATCAGAACACCACAAGGAGGGTGGGCCAGAAACAATAAAGAAAAGGCAAAAGTCTTCGCGGAGCACCTAACCCAAGTATTCCAACCCCACCCCACAGAACTCAAATCAGATGAAGAGGAAAAAATACAGCAATTCCTAGAATCACCTTATCCGCTGGAATATCCCCTTAAGCCCTTTAAAAACAACGAAATAAAAAACATCATAAGCAGTAACTTAAACCCCAAAAAAGCTCCAGGTTACAATTTGATCACAGGGAAAGTATTAAAAGAACTCCCAGAAAAGGGAATACGGTACATCACACAAATATTTAATGCAATCCTGAGTACTGGCTACTTCCCAGACCAATGGAAAGTAGCTCAAGTGATACTAATCCCAAAACCAGGTAAACCACCAGAAGACCCAAAATCGTACAGGCCCATCAGCCTATTACCTGTTCTCTCAAAAGTTTTTGAAAAACTACTTCTAGCAAGGTTGAGACCACTCCTCAGTGAAAACAACCTCATTCCTGACCACCAATTTGGGTTCAGACAACAACACGCAATAATAGAACAAATACAGTCAGTAAGAAGATTAGACAAGACCTAGAAGACCACAAGTACTGCTCAGCAGCCTTTCTGGACATCACACAAGCTTTCGATAAAGTCTGGCACACTGGAATACTGTACAAACTCAGGAAACTGCTCCCCCTCAACTATTTTCTTATACTCAAATCTTACCTACAAAATAGACACTCTCTGGTTAAACAGCAAGACGAGCACACAAACCTCTACACAATTCTATCCGGAGTACCCCAAGGCAGTGTCTTAGGACCCATATTATACTTGATATATACAGCTGACCTACCCACCGAACAGAACGTGCTAACAGCAACATTCGCCGATAATACTGCCATATTGGCCTCACACGAAAACCCGCAAACGGGGTCCCAGATCCTTCAAACCAACTTGGACAAAATTCAACAGTGGCTTATTAAATGGAGAATAAAACCCAACGAAGCAAAATCAGTACATGTTGCATTCAACACCAGGAAAGAGACCTGCCCACCTGTCCATCTGAACAACCACCACCTCTCCCACGCAGAAGAAGCTAAATATCTTGGGATGCATCTTGACAGAAGGCTGACTTGGCACAAACATGTTTACACTAAAAGGAAACTACTAGGCCTAATACTCACCAAACTATACTGGTTAATAGGAAGAACCTCCAAGCTGACACTTGACAACAAACTACTCGTTTACACTAAAGCCCATCTGGATGTATGGAATCCAACTGTGGGGAACGAGCTCAAACTCAAACATCGAAATACTAGAACGCTACCAGTCAAAGGTACTACGCATGATAACCAATGCCCCCCGTATGTGCCCAACAATGTCATCCGGAATGACCTTGGTATGATACAGTCAAAGAAGAAATAAAACAACTTAGTGTTAAATATAGTAACAGACTTAACAAGCATCCAAACGCACTAGCAACAGACCTCATGAGCCAGCCTATTCTGAACAGAAGACTTAAATGCTTCGCACCAAATGATCCGCTGGGCAGATTCTAGGCATTATATTTAGTATATAAGCTAGATTAAGGTTATAGATGTAAGTTAGATGTAAGTTCTACTCCTGCAAACACAAGTAATCTATTGATTATTATACGAAAGGTGTCTACTAATGAGTAGCCTCCTACAAGCCAATATTATATGATTCCACCGTTTGCTTATTGTAACTTTTACAGATTGCAAAAAATGGGAGACAAAAAAAAAGAAGAAACAGAACTCAACACGTAAAAGTAACACACACAGAAGGCAATCGTATGAAAGAATATTTGTCAAGTAGCCTCCAAGTGAGATACGCAGTCCCCCGGGGATCGGTCTGTAGCCGTACCACTGACACCACCATCTTGATTTGTAATCAATATTTCTTTTCAGAGAAATTAAGCATAGGATGTAGCAAGAACATTCAAGGGTGACTTAGCCCGATTCTTGGTTTCAAGAATAGGGCCTGCTTCACTGCTACAAAGACCAGACAGGAAGCACCCCGCAGAGTTTTCCTGGAAATTCTGTTAGAAAGTTGACCGGCGGGATCCTTTGGTAAAGTTACACTTGACAGGTTTTGAACCCCGTAAGTCAAAAGTGGGAAGGCCAGCAACCCACGCTACTGGTATAATTTTTCAAGCAGCTGTCAAAAACGACGTTAGGACTTTAAGGTCCAAAGTCCCAAATTAAAGTTATGTGATTGGAGCAGTGAGAATTATGGTTAACGCCCTAAATTCGAATTGTTCCACTCAGCAGAAATTAGGGTAGTAACTTGGAGGCGGAGCTGAAGCCGCGAAGATTTCTTGCTTCGAAGCAGGGTCAGTCTGCAAGAGGAGTCTCTGAACAACCCTCCAAGTGTACAGCCAAAAAACTAGCGTCACTGGCAGTTTGGTTAAAAAAAAAAATCAAAGTTAAAACAAAATTATGTTTAAGTGTTTGCAGGAACAATCTCTGGATAATTCTTCTAAATTTAACATGAAATTTTCTTTGTGCTAAAAGTATAAGTGAAAGTGCAATTCTAGGGGTTGTGCTAAAAGAAACAGCCGCTAACTAACTAGCCAGGGATCTGGTCGCCAACGTTGGAGAGATTTCCAGGTGTTTTAAGGAAGTGCAACAAGTGCTGTTACATGTACGTGTATAGCAAGATCGGCTAATTAAACAGTGTGTGTTAGTGCCTACCTAAAACACTCTTCTCTTTCCTGCTGACGCGAGGCCCGTATTCACCCTGAGACCGAATCTCATCGCTCCAGTGAGAACGCGGTACCTAGCACCTGTAGTTTCCAGTTCATCCCCCCTTTTCCCCGAAATGTAAGCCGTTACAGTAAGCTTACTGGCGCCCAGCACTCCGATAACCCATACCCCGCAAACTATTATCCACCTGAACAACAAAAAGGGAAACAGAACTGGATAGGAAGGACGCAGCAGCAACCTGCCAACTCGAAGTAACCACAGGTGAGAGGGAACGGCTAGAGGAGCAGATGCAACCAGCAACAAAAGGGCTCTTCAGAGGACTGCCGGAGAAGGATGGTTAGAGGTCCTTGGCCCATTACTCTTCACCTTGTATATAAACGATATCCCACATCTAACACAAGGCAGATCAATTATGTATGCTGATGACACATCAATACTGAATGTAGGACAAGATATGAATGAGCTTCAAAACAAGACTTCAAATAATATAGGAGTGATAGAGCAATACTTTGAGACAAATAATTTATTTATAAATCCATCTAAAACTCACTGTCAACAGTGAAAACAACACAGCAAGCCACAAGCAAACCCTGGATGACATCAATAACCTCCTCATCAAGATAGACAGGTGGCACAAAATCTGCCCCATACAAGAAGGACGATGGGAGTATGGACACAAACCTCCATGGTTTAAAAAATTTTAACTAGTGACAATAAAGGTTCTTTAAATTAACATCTAGAAACTTTTAAAAACTTTACAATACCAGGAAGCTGCTGTGATTTTGAAATGTTCGACTTTATGCGTACTGTGCATTATAGGATATAAGTGTATGTATTTTAAATCAAAACACCTATTGTGATGGTAGTTTCCAGTTCGTAATGATGTTCCCTCTGAAGATGGTCAGTAATGGCTGAAACATGTAAGGGAAATAAGTTTTCATGTAGTAAAAACTTATACGTCACATTGGACAGAGTGGTTTGTATTTATAATCTAAAAATCATAATAAAGAACAGGGAAATATCAAATGTAAAATTTCCTGGGAGTAGTAATAGATAGTACCTTGAGCTGGGAATTACATATTGAAAAAACCTGCAGCAGAATTAGCCATAACCTGTTCATAATTAACAGGCTATCTAAAATACTCGATTTAAATGTAAGAAGAATGTTGTATTACGGTTCGATCTATCCTCATCTATCTTATGGAATAATAGTATGGGAACATAGTGCTAAGACCCTCACCAGAAGAATTTTTGTACTCCAAAAGAGGGCAGTAAGATACACTGCAGGGCTAAAACATCTGGGATTGTGCACGGATAACTTTAGAAATCTAAAGATACTAACAATATACTCGCTATATATACAAGAAACAATCCTATATGTAAAAAAAAAAGTGTAACTGCACAGTGAATGAACAAATACATACATACGTACTGTACAGGCTACATGTTTCACTAATAGGGCACAAATAATAATACTACTTCTACAAGTAGTACCAGTGGATTAAAGGGAAATTTGTTTACATGGTATGAATACTATGCCACAGAAGCCCACACCAACATAACATTTATTTTCCTACAATAACAGCATGGTAGAGACAAAACTTGCCACTCTGGGTTCATTATTCACATCACTGTGCATTCGGGCAGGGAAGGGCCTGGTTCAGTTACCTGAGGTCATAACAACTTGGGCATAATATCAATGACCAAGACACTGCAGGCTCATGCTGTCAGAAACATTTTGCACACATCCAACTCTTCAAAATTCCCAAGGACCTAAAACTTACAAAACTCTATACTTCACAGTGCTTAATAATGTATATTAGCTGAAAGACTTGTCCTATATCGTTGTATCATGATCTACAGGATTAATAAAAGAATGAATGAATGGTCTTCCTGAAAACTGGCTTGGTTTACATCTGGTAACACTGGAGGTGTAGGGAACTGCACATAATCTTGGGGTTAAATTACCACTCTTCCACACACTGCCCTGGTTTCCTGAGAGATGAACACATGGTTTTGACAGTACTCTCTTTTTTTCCTTCTAAATACGTAATTTACCACATTCAGTCTCCAGTCATGTACAACACAAGTGGTTATTCCATTCTTACCTGCAGATCATGGTGCCAGCACATAAATGGAACTCACATATTCAGACCCATAATGTTATCTGGGAGGGTGTGGATTCTCCTGAACAGTAGGTGCATACCACATACGTGGTATCCACCATACAAATCCACTACTCCCTCCTGCACCCACTGAAACACACATTGTGCACACCATTAAAGATTTGACAGGAACTTATTAAAGATGAGCAGATGGTTAGTAATAATTGGGCCATGCTCCTCACTAAGCACACATTCTACTTGCCTCCAAGCTGCCTCCAATAAGCAGATTAGGCGTCCGTCCATTTCGGTGCCTATAACTATAAATTCCCTATAATCAACAAGCAGCCCAACGTTCCAATATCTTGTAATAACAAGTAACCTGTATCATATAACAGATCCCATCTTACCTCTCTATTATATGTCGCTATCATCTACAGCTACATTCTTCACTTAAAGGAGCAGGTAATGTCACTCTGCACCCGAGGCGTTCTCTTCAGTTGAAGCATCGCCTCACTGCACATTATGACACAGCTCGGTTAGATTAACTGGTTCATCATATCACTATGTATCCAAGAGCGATTCTATGTTTCAAGATATCTCACATATCTAAGTATTTCAAATACTTATAAACCTTCACATTCCCAAAAACCTCCAAACTCCCACACTTTATACAAAATCCCCACATTCAAAACATGTCAGAGAGTGATGTTATAGTGGTATATACTGGTAGTAAAAACAGTGCAAAAGAAGGCCTAAGTAATATAATTAACTTTGTAAGGAGGAACAGTCATACCAACATCATGGTTATGGAGGTACTACACAGACATGATTTAGTGGACTGGTCATCTGTTAACAAAGAGGTTAAGTCATTCAATAGACATCTAGCCAAAAGGCTGAAATTGTATAAACATGTATCATTTATAAGAGTAAACCTGAATAGGCAGCACTTCACAACACATGGTCTGCACACAAATAGCAAAGAAAAAAGGGAAGTGTGTCAGCAGGTAGCAGAATTGATTAAACAGAAGCTTGGAGCAGTAGTTAATGCTATCCCATTAAAATACAAAGAAGACACTGTCCATGATGAGGTTGCAGTAAACCATGTAGGAAAAGAGGAGAAGACATCAGCAGACCCATCTCCCAACAATATGGCAGAATTGGTTCAACAAAAGCTCGGAGCAGTAGTATATGCTCTCCCATTAAAGTACAAAGAAGACACTGTCCACGATGAGGCTGCAGTAAACCATGGGAAAGAAGAGGAGAGGACTTCAGCAGACCATCTCCCAACTGTATGGCACCATCTACAGGAGCACTCCCATTAAAGT